TGTGTTTATTTACCCCAAACAAGGCATGAAAGCCCCTGAGACACAAGGGATTATAGGTGTGAAAGAATAAAAAAACAGAAATACCACTAAGGAGAGCGAACAGAAGAAGATTAATCAGGAAGACAGTAAATAGCGATTGACATTGCATTTAAATTTTTACAGATCAAAGTTGGCCGGAAGGGATTTCTACAAGCGAGAAGTGCGAGAAAGAAACTGTTAGAGTAGAACTTACGGTTACATCTAGCCAACTCAACGGTATATTAATGAGACCCCGTTACCAGTCTAGTTTTGCGCTTATATTCATAAAGTCTAGGTACCATAGCGGAAAGCTTATCAAAACAATTACCATGAAAGTATTTATAGAAAAGGCACAGGGAGGCAACTTTACGGCGATAAGAAAAAGACTGAAGCCAAGACACTAAAACAAGGCTCATAATATTGCTGATTCTTCTTTGGATTTTATCAAGGAGCTCTAGATATATAACAGGGGCACTGGACCATATTTGACAGCAATGTTCTAAGCATAGACGAATGGTAGACTTATAGGTATATAGGATAGATTCCGGAGAAAAATAGTGTCTAGCACGACACAGTGAAACAATTTTCTTGGCAGCTGAGCTAGCAATTGATTCAATACAATCTATCTATTTCAAATCAGCCGACAATGTTAGCCTGAGAAGATCCAACGTGTCACTCTCTTAGACGTTAGCCTCAGTCATGCTGATAGAAATCAGAAATGGATCTCTCAGATGATTAATGGAGAGCAGCTTAAACATGGATGCGTTATAATTAACAAGCCATTCTTTGTCCCAGTTAACAACAGACTGAAGATCGTTTTATAATTATTCTTTTTACAACCTACACAATTTTCTTTTTCGTTTTACTTTATAGACTAATTTGGCTTAATTAAATTTGAAACCACGCCCTATAGCAAATCACGGTCACCCAGTTTAGATATCTTGACAAGTTATCTTTTGAAAGTATCAGTTTGCCTAGCTTAGATTTGGACACCGGTTTCCGTTCAATCACCCAAGTTAAGCAATGTCGATCTCAGTCAATACTTAGACCGGGCTCCGCTTGTGAACACACGGTACTGTATGTAACCTCTTAAAATCTTAAATATGATTCGCCTTTAAATAACCCACAGAGAGTTGAATAAGCCGTAAAACGAAAGCAATTAATCAATACCTTAGTTTTGGAACGAGACCAAAACTTTGGTACCACTAATGAGGGTCGAATTCAGTACTAAACAAGAACAGATTGCTATCCATTACACCGTGACGAAGCAACCTTAAATTCTTTTATACTATATAAGCTTTTTTCCTTTCTTATTCTCCATTCCGTTCTTACTTTAACTTCTAGCAGTATTTCCGTTTCCGTTTTTATTATTATGATTATTATTTTTCACACTTTTTCATTATTTGTTTTTCCATTCTGCTTTCCAATGCAACGTTTACATTCTCACAGTCGCTATGATATTAAACACTGCAAGTAGACATGTTTATATAATGCCGACCAATATATATATATATATATATATATATATATATATATATATATATATATATTTTTTCAATTAAAGGTGCAAATTATAATTTATAAATTCATGAATCATTCATAAAAACCCAAATATAGACGCTAATGATTTAAATGGCGAGAATACATCTTCGCAAACAATATAAATGAGATACATCAACCCCAAACCTGTATATGAATGATATGATCCCTGTTCATAAATTCCAGTTGCATAAGGTCTTTTAATCTATTTCCATACCTGAGGATGTCTGTAGGAACAAACGAAAGCTTGTAAAAATTAAAAGACCTATATATATATATATATATATATATATATATATATATATATATATATGGACATTGAGGTCAACACCAAGTGACAACCGTCTGTTTCATTCTTAAAAGCAATCTTCAAGCCTCAATGTCCTCTTTTATTTTTACATACGCCCTATCCCTGATATTGAGCAAATTAGCCCATAAATATAGCATAACTTTAAACTATATATATGCACATTTCCTTGAAAACGACAGACAAGGTGCTTTTATTTATTTTTTTTATACAATTTCACATGCGATCTAATTTTTTTTTTCTTTTCGGATGATAAATTATATGAAAACTGTCCTAATGTTCTTTTTATCATAGCGCTTTCGGCTATACATTCAGCCATTTTCAAAAATTATATTTTAACTGTTAATATAAGAAATAGTTTGTTGTGTGTATTTATAAAATGTTTTCATTTTTCAAAACACGGTCAAGATATTGTGTCCATGCTCAAAGTTAATATTATGAAAAAGGCCCTGTTTACAATTTAGATAGATCGGAGTTCAACTTTATATAGAAGCACCTAGCCAAGTGGTTATCAGCTCGGTAAGTGGGGTCAGCACTTATCGGATTGGTAAGTTAAACTTGAGTTCACGTTCGCCGAACTGCCCTTGTGGAAGGCATAAAGCCATCTCTTTTCTCCCACTACGGACCCCGGATAGGGATTAAATAGTAGAGCAGACTAAGCTCTCTTAGCTTTGGTTGCCAACCAGTCTAGGAGAAAGGCACCTCTGGATTCAAAACTGCACTTCTATTTTGTAGAATTTAATTTGCTGCAAAATTCACAGCATCATAACATAGCGTGGTTTGGCAGTGGCCCAAAAATTCAGAGGAAATCTACAGTTTCAAGAAATAAGAACGTCAAATTATACCTGTTTCATACCTGTCTCATTAACTTTTCTATGCTTACTGCAACCGGGGTTTGTTGATTTCCTCTTCTTCCGCACATTACTTTTTAAGTATAAGATTGATTTTCGTTAATATAACAGTTATATTGTGTGAATACGTTCCTTCTCAGAACGAAACGCGTCACTGTATAACTTTTCATTTTGCCAATCGTGTGCTCATTAACAAACAGAAGTATAATCATAATTTTGTTTTCATTGTTGATCCAGATTTTAGATAGAAACCGTTGGGAAATAACTTTGTTTCCTATTTTGTATTAGGTTTCTGGTACATTTTACAATCATCTCGTTATCTTTAACATACCTTGCGTCTTAGTGAAATTATCACCTTGCCTGGGGTGCACTGATAAAGAAAAGAAAGGGTTAATTATAATACGCTTTCCTTCCTTAGGTGTCATGCGTGATGTACGCTTGTGCGATCATGTCTCTTTTCGATTCATGACTGATTTGACAGAGGAATTCCCGCAGTAGGTTACCGTTACTTTCTGCAGTAGACTGGTTGACAACAAAGTCTATGGAACACAGAGGACAGGGGAGATAAGATAGATTTATGCGTTTCCCAAGGGTATTTGCGCGTAAGTAAATACAGCAAACACTTGGAATTCGAACTCGGCTCACCGATTTCTCATTCTGAGCCGTAATCCATCACACTACCCGCACAGTTATTACATTAGGCTATATAAAAAGTACATTTTTATAGAGCTCAACTCCAAATACTATTCGACTATATTATTATTATTATTATTATTATTATTACTATTATTATTATTATTATTTTTATTTTCTTTGATTTCTGGCGTTTACACATTTCTTTCCGGGTCCCGCCCAGGGACCTAAGGTTAGAAATGGCATCATGACACTTTCCTCTGACAAAAACAAAAAAAATTACATATATAAAGACCTTTGTAAAGTGTGGGCTGTACTTTTCAGAACAATCTTTTGTTGAGGCATGGACTTCCAGGAATCCCTTCAATTAATCTACTGGAATATTATTATCATTATTATTATTATTATTATTATTATTATTATTATTATGTCAAATCTTTATTAATACTCTTCAAATGTACTTTTCTTGAGATATTATAATGGCCGACACATGTATTGCGATTCTAGTAATTTTAAAGACTTATTTTAAACTGGGCTTCAAAGTGGCTGAAGCTGCTAATAGACGCCGGGGAGTAGAGATTTACTTGACCCCCCCCCACACACACACACACTGAATCAGATTGTGACACAAGGCCAGCCTTCAATGTGGGGACCCGAGTGTTTTCACTCGTGCCGCTGATCCAAGCTGGTCTTAGCTGGTCATAGCTTGTGCAAGCCGGTCAGAGCTGGTCTAAGCTAGTCATAGCTGGACCTAGCTTGTCATAGCTGGTCCAAGCTTGTCAGAGCCGGTCCAAGCCAGTCGCAGCCGTGATACCACCAGCACAGGGACGGAGCCCTGGGCCAGGTAAGTAGATATTTACTTGACCCTCCACTGAATCAGGTTGTGACACAAAGCCAGCCTTCAACGTGGGGACCCGAGTGCCCTTACTCGGTCCGCCGGTCCGAGCTGGTCATAGCTTGTCCAAACTGGTTAGAGCTGGTCTAAGATAGTCATAGCTAGTCTTGGCTTGTCACAACTTGTCCAAGCTGATCAAAGCCGGTCCAAGCCAGTCGCAGCCGTGATACCACCAGCACAGGGATGGATCCCTGTACCAGGTAAGTATGCAGAAGCCAGGGAGTTGAAGCAAAACAAACCGTATATAATCATACTGCTCAAAACTGGTTTTAATTTTGTTTCAGGCCAATTGAAGCAAATCACGGAAGTGGGTGATCATCAGTTGTCGATTATAATTGTTTAAGACAGACGTGAAGGTAACCACTAGAACTGGAAAACTTTCAGAAGAATTAGGATCATCAGAAAATATCATATATGAAGTGCTTTACATATATCCCAGGAAATACACAACTGCTCTTGGAAGATTAAATAAAAGAAATACTTTGACGCATTTGCTACAAATTCATCAGATGGTTAAAGACAAATAAAGGATTACTGAAAAAAAAGCAATAAATCGGATGTCTGGAATTCAGAATTATTATTATTATTTTTTTTTTTATGGTCAGGCAATTGAGAGAAACGTTGGGATATTTTATAATACGCGGAATAACACGAGTTGTAATTGTATGTAATCGTATGCATATGATGGTCATTTAGAAAATGCAGAATCGAAATTTCCATTGGCGGAGGTGTGGGAAAATATGGATATTTTATTCACTATAGAAAACGATCGAACGCACGAACCAGCGAAAGAAAGAAAGAAAGAAAGAAAGAAAGAAAGAAAGAAAATGTGCGAAGAAAAAGAAAGAAAAAGAAATTTTAGAAAAAAATGACAATAAAGGAAGGCCAGAGAAAAGAACGCATATGAATGTATAAGAAAATCAAAAAGGGTGAAAGAAAAGAGAAGCGATACCAACAGAAAGAAGAATAGTGCGCAAAAGAAAAAAGAAAAAAAGGCAAGAAGAAAAGAAAGAAAAAAAAAGAAAAAGGAAAGAAAGAAGAAAGAAAGAAGAAAGGAAACAAAGAAAAAGAAAAAAAGAACGAATAAATGAACGAAAGAAAACATGAATGAAATAAGAAAGAAAGAAAGAAAGAAAGAAAGAAAGAAAGAAAGAAAGAAAGAAAGAAAGAAAGATGGAACGAACAAGGAAAAGAAAGAATGGGTGAATGAATAATGTGAAAAGAAAAAAAGAAGAAAAAGAAATGTCAGAAGAAACCACATCAAAGAAATTCAAGAGAAAAGAACGAATATGAAAATATAAAAAAACAAAAAATTGAAAGGAAAATAAAGAGATAAAAACTTACAGAAGAATAGTAAGCTGAAGCAAAAAAAGAAAAAAAGTGAATAAAAAAAAGTAAATAAGAAAATAGGGAGAAAAGAAAAGCTTTGAATACATAGAAGAAATATCTTTAAAGAAAGAAAGTTCAAAAATAGATAAAGATAGATAGATAGATAGATAGATAGATAGATAGATAGATCCTTCCGTCCGTATAGTAGTTGTTTGCTGAGTTGTGTTAGCGAGTGGGCGTTTTAAGATATAATGGATAAACAGGGTTAAAATTTTCTAGTTTGAAGTTGTCAAACCAGTTTTTCTAGCATAGGATTTTGTTTACGACTCGAGATATTTTTGACCTAATGCGTTGCGAGAAAACATCTGCGGAAAGTTCTGGACAAATAAGCAGAAACAATACGAGTTGCTACGAAAGTTTTCCACCGGCCCATTTCGTTAAGTGGCAAAAGGAAGAACTCCGTTTTATCTGGCCTTGGTGGCTTGTAAGCCATCAGTATTTAGTGTTCGTTCCTGAATAAGCCAGTCAAAAAAAAAAAAGTTGGCTTAAAGCCACGCACTTCAGGTGTGGAGTCGAGAAGAGCAGGTGCATAATTATCTGATTTAGAATTATATATATATATATATATATATATATATATATATATATATATATATATACATATATATATATATATATATATATATATATATATATATATATATATATATATATATATATATATATATATATGTGTGTGTGTGTATATATATATGGTGGAGTTGTGTATGGAGGCGGTGTCAAGGTCAGTGTCTTCAAATGTAGTAGGAATGATAAATGGCGTTTGTTGGAGTGACGAGACAATTTCCACTTCAGGTTGTTGACCACTGCTGCCGTTTTGCACTGAAGGCATGAACTCAAATATTTATGTATTTTTGTTTGTTTGTTTGGAGTAAAACGGTAAAATAGGAGGAGAAGAAGAACGAATGAAAGAATATGAATTAATGAATGAAATGAAATATATTAAAATGACAACATATACAATAAAAATCATGAAATATAAATTATGTAATAGGAAACAAAAAGCAAAAAGAAAACCAAGTAAGGAAATAGAGATAAAGAAAGAAAGAAAGAAAGAAAGAAAGAAGGCCGGCGATTGAAGAAAGAAAGAAAGAAAGAAAGAAAGAAAGAAAGAAAGAAAGAAAGAAAAAAAAAACATGGAGTAAAGAATGAAAGGAAGGAAATTAGAATCACAAGGTATAGGATAAAATGTAAGAAATAAATTATATAATAGGAAAAAAATGTAAAGAAAGAAACGAACAAAGAAAGAAAGAAAGAAAGAAAGAAAGAAAGAAAGAAAGAAAGAAAGAAAGACAGGAAGAAAGAAAGACAAAAGAAAGAAAATGAATTAACGAATGAAATGAAAGAAATTAGAACTTCAAGATATAGAAGTAAAAGCAAGAAATATAAATGATATAATAGAAAAGAGAAAAGCAAAGAACAAACGAACCAAAGAAAGAAAGAAAGAAAGAAAGAAAGAAAGAAAGAAAGAAAGAAAGATCGATCCAAAAATGAAATGAAGGAAATTTTAATCACAGGATATAGGATAAAAATCAATATAAAAAGAAAGAACGAAAGAAAGAAAAAAGAAAAAAACGAACGAAGGAAAGAACGAAAGAAAAAATATGGATTAAAGAATGGAATGAAGAAAATTAGAAGGACAAGATATAAGATAAAAAAGTAAGACATAATGGGAAAAAGAAAAGTGAACAAAAAACGAAACAAAGAACCAAAGTACATGAATTAAAAGGTTTCTTAATATTTTGTTTAATTTCTGAAAGGCATCTTTCACTATATCAGTGCGTCTTCGTCTTTTGGTACTACATTTCCCATCCTCTGTCCAGATATTTAAACTTCTATACTTGCATAATTTCAACATCCCCAATTCGTAGCACGCAACATGTTTCTTTGTTTCGTTTTTTGTTTCGTTTTTCGTTTCGTTTTTTGTTTCATTTCATTCGTTAATTCATTTTCTTTCTTTTGTCTTTCTTTCTTCCTGTCTTTCTTTCTTTCTTTTTCTTTCTTTCTTTCTTTCGTGCTTGCAATCATATATTCAGTTTTTTTACAATTGATAGTTAGCTTTCTTTTCGCTTTCCAATGCTACTTATTTCATCATTATCCTTTCTGTGTCTACCACCAACACGAAATCGGATATATATATATATATATATATATATATATATATATATATATATATATATATATATATATATATATATGGAAGACGTTATAGTTGTTCCAACGGGAGAAAAGTGTATATTATAAAAAGAAGATAAGCCGCAAATGTTCTTGATTGAAATGTGGATTTTTTTATTTTAAAATATATATTATACTCTATTTTCCATAATTCTGCTACACGGGTTTCTGGTTGCGCAACCTTCTTCAAGCAAAGGATAAATATTTCCACATATTGTAAAAATGAATTTTTATTTTAATTTTATTATTCCTATTTTTTATTATTTCTATTTTTTATTATCTATATTTATTTTTATATTTATTATATTACAAAAATGAATTTTTATTTCCGCATCATAAAATGAATTTTTATAATATGTGTAAATATCCATTCATTCTATCCGTCACCAACGATGCTTTTTGTAGCATGCTCATATAACCAGCTGCTGTTTGACGACCCTGCACCACCTGGAGCTCCATCGTCCCTCTGTAAGAAAAGGCACCCCATACCATTAGGGACCCTCCACCACTATGGCATTGTTATGCCAATATCGTTGGAAGCCATCAGGACCATCTAGATTGAATTTTCTCTCATCAGAAAACAGGACTTTCTTCCACTTCTCAATGTCCCATATTTGCTATTCACAACCAAATCTTAAACGGTTCACTTTGTGTCGTGAAAGCAGCCAAGGAATTTGTTTGCGCTTTTTATTTACCATGCCTTTTTGTCGTAAGTGTCGTCTGATGGTTACTGGACTGCAGTCAGAATGCTGCAATCCACGCTGCATCACGGACCTAGACCTTTCTACAAGAAAATGGGGTCCATCTCTTGAGACATCCTGCATGCTCACTGGACTTGAACCCAATTGAAAACGTTTGGGGATGGATGGCAAGAGATGTTTATCGAAATGGCAAACAATATTCAACAAAAAAATGAACTTCGTGAAGCTATCTTCAGAAGCTGGAGCAATATTCCTCGTAGCTCAATGGAAACACTAATTTCTAGCATGCCCCAAAGAAATTTTGAAGTCATCAAAACCAGTGGAAGTAGAATTCATTATTAAATTTGGTTGTTGAATGCTTTCGTACACTTTTCTTACAATTTCGTAGAATTTTTGTCTCTGGTCTCATGATTTTGATCAAGTGTAAAACGCCACATTTTATAAAAATATCAATTTCTCAATAAAATGTTCGGATTATAACTTTTTGTCTACAAAACATTTTAGATTATAAAATTAGTAATCTTAATTAAGAAATGTTTACAATTTTTCCATGAAAAACAGTCTTTTAAAAAAATTTTTTCAAGCGGTCGTAAATTTTTGATCAGAGGTGTATTTTTTTTTTTCAACAATATATTACTGGTAATAATCTTTCTTCAAAAATTTATTGCTGGCAATAATTTTTTACAAAGCATTTCTGCTACTAAAATCTATTTTTATACTTTCATAGTGTTTTGACCCCAGTTTGGGGGTTAACTATCTACCTATAGCTGGGACCCTAACAGGTGCTACCACCCCGGGTCGGAGTGGACCTGGGAACACCAGCAATTTAGAGGTGGTTCCACCCTCCACAAAACTTCCTGATCAGAGACCTTGCTATTGTACTTTAATTTATCGTCTTACCCAGGACGCGGGTGTAGTTTATCATCATACCCATTATATATATATATATATATATATATATATATATATATATATATATATATATTATTATTAAACGGCTGGATACTTTCTGTGCATTTCTTTATTCCTCGCTAAAAATATCCTTCCGTCTGATTATTTCCATAAATGTCATGGCTGTCTTCGGTCAAAATGAACCCGGATGCCGGAGTAATGATATTAGGTAAGGCTACAAAGAGGTCCTTTATCTTCGAGATATTATTTATTGTCACTTCTGGGTGACGTCTATCAAAATGTCTGCTAAAACGTGGAACTATAAAAAGCTACAGAAGGATATCATTGGCTAGTCTGAAAGTCTATCAGTAAAATGTCTTATTTAAACTGTTTGGCTCAGTAGGAATTGCAAACATCATAACAACGTTAAAAGCATACACTTCATTTAACTCAATCTGTACAGTGGGCTATGATAAGTTTTTAGCCACCCTTGATTACAGCAATTTTGGCTTGTTTAATAATGTCTGTTCTTTTTTTTTCAGACAATAACTTGTTAGTATCAAGCTACTCTAATCTATGAACAATAGTTGACTTATATATTGCAATGAAAGTTGGTGGAAGTAAGGAAATTAGTGAATGTCAACGAGGGCAAATAAAAGGATGGCATCAGTGTGGCAAGTCAAATAGAAAAACTGCTAGGTTTTTCCAGGTTAATCATCAAACGGTTAATAATATTGTCAAGAAATTTAATGAAGAAAGCCATTGTTGTAGGGAACAACTTTCAGGAAGACCAAGCATCGTGTCTGAGTGAACGAAAAGAGCGCTGAAGAGGGAAATTATCAGAAACCGTCGTTAAAGCATCAAAGATGTTGCCAACAGCATGGAAATGTCACCATATGGGGTGAGAAAGACTCTGAAAGAGCTAGGCTATCAAAGAAGAATTGCAAGAAAGAAGCCCTTGATTTCTGAGGTTAACAGGAACCTTCATATGGACTCGGCGAGAGATTACGAGAGCAAAGATTATGAATTTTGGCAGTCTGTAATTTGGTCAGATGAAAATAAATTCTGCCAATATTCTAATTCGAGATTGGTTTCTGTTTGAAGAAATCAGAATGAATATCTGCAGATGATCGGGAAACATGGAGGGATTGGAGTCATGGTGTGGGGCACTGTCTGGTTTGGAGGGAAATCTGAGCTGATTCTTGTTGAGCGGTTGAATGGTCCAAAATACAGTCAAATATTAGAGAAAGGACTACTCCCACTATTTGAAACCAACCAGATTGACAAAAATGTCTACTTTTTTTCAAGAAGATGGAGCGCCATGCCATACGAGAAAAGTAGCAAAGACCTGAAAGGAATTGCAAAGAATCAAGTCACTGCCATGGGTAGCCTCAAATCCTAACATGAATCCAATGGATCACGTTTCGGAGCACCTTGACCGAAGACGTCGAGAGTGTGCAACCAAAATCACATCAGTTGCAACCCTTAAAGAAACATTGCTAAAGGAGTGACAATATATGACGATTGTTGATAATTTGATCAAATCCATGAAAAATCGATTACAAACACTGAAACTAGCAAATGGAGGACCTACTCTATACTAGTTCCAAATACTGTTTATTTATGTTGAGTAGCGATTACGTAATTAAATTTTGAAATTGGATGTAGTTTATTTCTCCTGCCTAAAAACTTTTCTAAGGCCACTGTATATGTACACACACACGTCAGTATGTGTGTACACGAGTGTGTGTATGTATGCGTCTCTGTGTGTATGTGCGTGCGAGCGTCTGTGGGTCTGTGTACATGAATCCATTGTGTCTGTCGTGGAAAATAAACGGCGGGTTTAACACAAGACGGACTGGTTGCAACTTTGTATGATCAACAGTCATCATTTATCAGGAAAATGAATATTAGAAAAATATTGGCCGGCTACACGTTTCCGAGCACACCTATCTGCTACTGTAGCTAACTAATCCCTATCAAAGACACCTGTTCAGACACATTTGTGTTTCTTCAACACCCAGAGAGAAAACATGTGATTTATATTGCAACTATGCTGAGAGGGCTTACAGCAATATAGCATTGAAACAGAGGTTCTCGTCCCGAAGTTAAGCAAAGTTAGCCTGGACAATGCCTAGATGGATGTACGCTTGTGACTACCAGGTTCTGTAAGCTTGGATGTACAGGTGGTGTAAAAAATGTCCCGGAATTATCAATCGGAGAGCCGAGTTCCAAATCCCGTTGCGTTCGTTATATTGACATACGCGCAAATATTCTTGGGAACGGTATGAAACACCTCTTCTCTCCCACCAGCTATGGGTTAATTAGTAAGACTGTCTCTCTTTCTCTCTGTCTCTGTCTCTCTCTGTCTCTCTCTGTCTCTGTCTCTGTCTCTCTATCTATATATCTATCTATCTATATATATATATACACACAGATAGATAGATAGATAGATAGATAGATAGATAGATTTTTATATTTATGCTTGCGTGCCGTTAGTCCACGAATTTTAAAATCATTCTATCTTTCCACCTGTCTGCATAACTACACATATATCTATATACCTCTCTACATGATTTGCCAGAGAAAGAAAGAGAGAGAGGAAAGAGAAATAAAAAGAGATAGATAGATAGATAGATAGATAGATAGATAGATAGATAGATAGATAGATGTTCATGTTAATAAATAAAGAAGCATGTACCTTTTTGATCTGTTTTCATTCTTCTGCTCGGCGATTAGACTAATCTTATCTTTTTCGATGAATCTAGCTTGAATGAAAGACGAATCTGTACATACGATTATATAAAATATTGAAATCGTTGTCTCGACAGGAGATGAACATTTGGAAACGACCAACAGCAGGGGTTCTACGAATGGAGTGTATAACTTCTTTAATCTTTATCTCTTTTCTCGTGTAATCTGACCAGAATTTGGCGGGTAAAAGACCTGCTTTTCTCATAAATTTCGTTTGGTATTTTAAGAAAAAAAAATCGCGAGCATATTGATAGAAATGTGGATGAACAAATCGTCTAGCGTAAACGGAGACGCGGTATTTAATATTTCAGTTAAATAATTCAATTCTTACTTCCTGCATTCAAATGTATATAAACCCACATTCTAAAGGTAGCCTTAGGTGGGTCGAGAAAAAAAAAACTCCACATTTAAATTTTAACTCTTAATAACTTTATTAATTATTTGGTTGATTTTCATAAAAAATGTTTTATTTTGAACAGTATAATAATCGAAATAGAACATTAGGTTGTCCACCAGTGTTTGTAATCGTCTGTGCATATCTTTGAACATTTCCTGTACCTTTTGCACATCTTCTTCCAATCTCGATGTAAAAGGACGGCCGTTTTTGTGGGTACCTACCGTACCCATCAGCGTGGAATGACAGTTTTCTCATGGTTTTGGCATCTAGGGAAGCACGATGTCATCTCTGCACTGGTACCACGCTCATTCGGCGTCGGACGTTGTGCCTTCTTGACTACACTCCCCCTACACGCAAGCCACCAATCTGCCACTGGGTGGCATGCCACTAGTGTTTGCCTTCGGCGGCCCGACGACGGGTAGCTGGCGTGTTTGTCTCGGCAATGTTTCCATTGGCTGACCGCTAGAGGAACACTGGTGGCTGCCACCAGAGTACCGCTGACGTTTCATCATTATCTGGTGACCGCTACCACCAGAGGACCGTTTCCATCGGCGACCCGCCAGCGGGCCATAGCGGTTTGCGTGTAGGGTTGCCACTCTGAAATAAAAAGAGAAATTAGTCATTAAATTCTACCACTTTAGGGATCGTAATATATGCAAATGTGGTTATATTAACAAAGGTTAGAAGTAAGAGAGTTTCTGTCCACCCCACAGCGTAGACTTCCGAATATTTTCCCCCGCCTACACACACAGATACACACACGAGAATATATTTATAAAATAAACTCGAAGCAAATATATGTATCTGTATTTACGCATGAATATCTAATATAAATTATATATGTATGCGTGTGTCTGTATGTGTGTGTTATGTATACATATGTGTGAATCTAGGCAAATGCATATATATATATATATATATATATATATATTTTATAAAATTATATAAAAATTTTCACTATAAATTTTTTTATTTAGCACACTGATGTGTCTTATCAAGTGAAGACACAGAGTGTGTTGAAACAAAACGGAAATGGCTATTTTGTAGTGATTTTATAACATACTTATGTTATAATTTTTTTTATAAAAATAATTATATCTGCTCTACTTTGTATTGAGCACTCTTTTAAGAATAGTAATTGTTGGTTATTGGAATTCATTCCGTATATACCAATTATATACTTGATATATATATATATATATATATATATATATATATATATATATATATATATATATATATATATATATATACAGGGTGCAATGGATAAATTAACCTCTAAGATGAAAATAACACTGACATCTCATTCTAACAGATATGTTTACCAAAATTACACAAAAATATCTTGAAATACTAAAGAGTAAATTAATTCAAGAAAATTGCCATTAGTTTCAACCACAACAACCGGATGACTTCGGAATCCCCTGCAACTCTTCTGGGCGGTCTCTTTGTTTAAGTTGGTGAATGCTGCCATAATCCTTGCCTTCAGTTCATCTTTGATGTTACAAGGAGTTGATCTCTCGCTCAACTGCGCCCCACACTTAATAATCAAGAGGGTGTGCAGTTTGGGGAGTTAGGTGGCCAGATGTAAGGAATAGTGTGGTCGTAGAAACTGTCTGGCAGCCATGACTGTCTTCTTCTGCTTGTGTAGCATTGTACAGAGTCCTTCTGGCTGACATAGGCTCTTCCTGTAGTTACCATGTTGACTCAAGGCAGCACTATCTCCTCAAAGCGCTTGATTTAGGCCTCCATGGTGAGTCTAATGACCTCACCAACAAATTCGTGAGATCTTTACTTAACAGAACGATCAGTACGTTTACCGAGCTGCCGCACCTTCGTAATCACCATTAAACTCATCCAACTCTTCCTGAATGCTCTGCACTGTCTTCAGATTGACACCTAAACACGCTGAAATGTTCGTATTGGAGCTTCTTGTGCGAAGGCCAAGCAGTACAGCATGCCGTTTCCAGAACATGTCGTGTCGGTGTAGTGAATTGCGTCATGGGGCCCGACTGACCCTACTGTACTGTGCCGTCGACAAAATCAAAAAACAAACAACGCGCATGCACGAAATTAAAAATATAAAATGGCGACAATTTACCCATCGCACCTTGTACATGTTTTTGCATGTATCGCTTCAGATTGCCAGAACTTTTGAGACTCGTATAAACAGAAAATATATTGTCGGACCTAGTCCATTTCATTGTATATTGTCTTTGTTTACGTCAAGATGCGTTTCTTGAGCAGATACGATCATTCGAGAAAAATTGTCGGAGCTTGTGTTTTTAAACATATACGGTAGTGTAATGGATAGCAGCTCGGATTGAGGAATCGGAAGAGCCGAGTTCGAATTCCAGTCGAATACATTACATTAAACTTACGTGCTAATACCTTTGGAAAAGGTATGAATCCTCTTCTTCTCCACCCGCAAGCTATGGGTAAATAGCAGGATAGAACGGGTTCTATAACCTTGGATGGTAACTAGTCTACCGCAAAAAGAAATGGCAACCTACTGCGGGAAAAATCTGCCTCGTCAGTTCTAATGTTTCGAAAAAATATCCGATAATGCATTTTGCACATTTGGGCTTCATCAGATTGTAGATGAAAAAGTGAATTGGGTGTGTCTGTATTTGTGTGTTTATTTAAAATAATGAGTTATTTTTCCCAATAAGGCGTTAATCATGACTAGAAAAGAAGGAAATTGAGTGACTTATTTAAAAAAAAAAAAAAAAAAAAATTTGTTTAACGTTTTATGTTTTTTTTTTGTTTTGTTTTAAATGTCCGAGTTTAAAGATAGAAATCCATTAAAATAGGTAGAAAATAAATGAAAGATAAGTTATTTTTTGTTTGTTTGTTTCTGTTTTTGTATTTGTTTTGGGTTTTTTTATCCATGCTTTCTCTATGTTGACAATATGTTAAAGATTTGGATAAATAAGCCCGACATGAAATGACAATTGAAAAAAAAAAAAAGTTCATTAAAGTATAATGTTTCAAAAAATATACTTTCATGTATGTTTTTTTTTTTTTTTGTATTTTTCTTCAATTGTCATTTAATGTATAACTCTTGTCGGGATCATTCATCCAAATTCATAACATAGATTATGGCTACGACTCGATTTCGAGTATCGCTTGATCCATTCTCAGATATGGGCAGTGCGGATGTGGCTTTTTTTTTTTTTAGTCCTGCAATGGTCTTACAATCTCTTGCAAAGATATGGCAGTGTTGTACATTATTTATAGTAGTTACATCAATGCCGCATAACATGTAATAAATGACTTTCCTCTGTCCGTGGCAGCTTTGATCATTTCGGACGTCTGTCCTACTTAAACGTAACCACATTCATTACACATTAGATCAAAATTCTGTGTCAACATTTTCAGGGAGAGTGAGAGAAAGAGCAAGAGAGAGAGAGAGAGAGAGAAAAGAGAAAGAGTGAGAGATAGATATTAAACGGCAAATGGGTAAAATTTGCAACGCTTTTATCATAAAAAAGTAAAGAATTATATTAAAACTATATTATTTTTATGGAATAATATATATATATATATATATATATATATATATATATATATATATATATATATATATATATATATATATATATATATATATATATATATATATATATATATATATATATATATATATATATATATATATATATATATATATGAATAAAGATAAAGGGTAAAATTAGCAACACTTTTATCATAAAAAAGTAAAAGAATTATATTAAAACTATATTATTTTATGGAATATATATATATATATATATATATATATATATATATATATATATATATATGGATATATATATATATATATATTATATATATATATATATATATATATATATATATCTATGTATATATATATTTATATGTGAATAACGACAAAAGGAAAATTTTTGTTTTCCACATATATATATATATATATATATATATATATATATATATATATATAAAAATGGGGAGGAGGAAATATAAATGAAAAATATTAATTAGTTATAATAATACAACAAGACGAAACACCGAAAAATATAGGGAGACTAAATTTTAAATTTCCGACTTATCTCAAGGCAAATACTCAGCCGGTTTCATTTCATTTCTCAACACATTTATTTTTACTTTTAGCACTGTTGCAATCGACTGTATATATTTCAATCTTGTTGTAGGTAACTGGAGCTAGATCTTGCCCCATTCTGAAGAAAGCCTACAGAGCCATCAATTGGAATTTGTATTTAAAAAAATCTTACATTTCTTTCCCGAACAACTGTAGGACTAAATCGCACGAGGAGATCCTGAATAGAAAAGCTAACATTGAGATGACACATAATTTAGTTAATTTACATAATCCTCGCTAAAATGGTTCTATAAAGCATTAAACCCTATCGAAAAAAAAAAGGAAATGGAAAATTCAAACTATTTTTTCTTCTAAGAATTTTCCCATTAACAGAAAAAAACTAAACTAAAAGCATAAATAATGGTTGGCCGTTCGTATGCCGGTCTACTAGGGCAGCTAGCAA